AAAATCTGCGCGGAGCGCCAAAAGCTCATGTTTATGGCGTTATTTCTTCTTCTTCGAGCCTGGCCGGGATCGGTGCGGGACTCGGCTCATCAACCGCGCCCCGATGAGGCACTGCGAAGTGAGGGGACTCGACATCCGCCAGCCCCGCGAGGCATGGCGAGGTACACTCTGGTCCCGGGTCCTGGAAGCAAGACAAGCTACGAACAAGTCATATCCATGGCAACGGGACGTTACCCGGTACAGTCGGGGCGCATACGAGAGGACACGCGACAGGATACGAGACTCTTCCGACAGTAGCATGGCCTCCAACAGCCGCAGGACACAAAGTACTCTGCTGAGGCCGCGACCGCGGTCACCCGCGGCCGACCCGCAACCTCGCGAAGGGGGTCGCGCGCCCCTTTTATCAAGATCATTCATCGTCTTCCACGACCCTCGATGCAACGCAAGGGGCCCACACTGCCCTCGACCACACGACAACAAAATATCCAACTGGGGCACCAGGCATGAACATCACGATCTGTAAGCAAAGTCGAACGACAATTTGACGCCCCCTTTGGGCTTTCGTCGGCGTGTGAGATTGTTGCCCCCGCCCGATCGCCTTCGGGGTCCTACTGACCCGGGTCAATCCAAACTCGGGTCAGTCGGGCCTTGCAGGATCCTGTAAGATCGTGCGCGCAAGCCCAGTTCAGTGCGCCCCGCCCATAGCACTTCAGGATCCTGCAAGGTCTGACGCTCTGGCCGACACCCGTTTGCTTTAACCCCGTCTCTCGTGTGCTGAAGCCAGGCCTGCACGGACATATATATATATATGTATATATATATATAGATATATACATACAAGACTGCATTGGCGCTTCGCGCCATGCACCTTGGTCCTTGAAGTTTGGTGTGCAGGCGGAAAAGCAGGAAGGTCAAGCCGACAATTTAGCGATAACTCCTTGTTGCCTTTTCCGGCATCGCCGCTATAATAATGTTATTCGTTATCCTTCCTCCATGCTTCTTTTTCGTCATTTTCGCCATACCCTGCGCATTCTCCCCATCCTCCGCAGCTCTTTTTTGCGGAGGCTCCTCCTTGGAGAGGCTCTGGGGGCCTCACAAAAGTTGTTTCAGACTTTCTGAAGGCCTTCTGGAGGCCTCCTGGGCGTATTCCGGGGGCCTCTGGAGGCTTTCTCGGGCCACCCTGCCTCCAACCGCGGTCTCCCTGAACGACCGGGTCACGATTTGGAATGTTTCAAAGGGTGTCTTGGGGCCATCTTGGGCCGCCATGGGGCTCTCTGCGGGCCATCTTGGACCCGTGTTGTGCCGTTTTGGGGCTCTCTTGGAGTGCCCGGAAGCCCTTTCGGATGTTTGTGGGGCGATTTTGGAGCCTCCCAGGCGGCTTCGGGCGCCCAGAAGACCGCCGTCTTGGAGCGTCGGGAAGCCGAAAAGAGGAGAACCCCCAAATTCACCAACAACCAACAGAAAATCAATGATTTTTGCCTCTTGGGGCCTTCTTGGTAGCGCTCTTGGAGGCCTCTTTTACGAGATTGATTTGTATCACTAGTACCTGCCCCGAGCTTTTTCCCAAAATAAAACTGCCTTGAACGATTTGGTGTGATCTCGCGGCGGCGATCGAGTCACAAAGAGGTTGCGACGCCGCGCGACCACGGACAGCTAACGCGCCAAACAGCGAATAACGCAACAACGCGCCTACACCACGCGCCCCGCCGCGACGAACCATGGGCGCAGCCAAAGGGAAACGGTGCCAGTCCACCACCGAAGCAGCGACCAGCGCCGATACCCACGCACTCAGCGTTAGATCTGACGCGCAAGCTCGTTTCGCAGCGCCGCCGCCGCGCGCGCGACGCCGACGCCGACCGACGATCCCGCGAGCAAGCTGGAACGCGCGACGACCCGCGCGAAACCGCAGCGCGCCAAAGTCGGTCGGACAACGCGGCCCACGGTCAAACGGGGTCCCGCCGAACCCCGCTGAGAAACATAACAGGCGAGCGAACGCTTAGGCGCGACGGCGCGGCCGCGACCACAAAGCGGCGGCGGCGCCCCCCTCCCAGCGCGGGCATGCCAACGGAAGGGCAGCGATACGCCCAACGGCCTACATGCGCCTACGGGCGCCCCAACGACGAAATGCACACGTCGGCAGACGCGCTAGACCGCAACGTGGAGCTCACGGAAGCGGCGGCAGTGGCGGCACAGGAAAAGGCGATCGATGAGGAGGAACACGAATAGGACGACGACGGCAAGGAGGGCGGGAGGGCGGGCAATGGCGGTGTAGGGAGAAACAAAAGGTGAGGATGAGGGTGAATTAGGTAGACAGGGCACAAACGATGAGCAAACGGCGGGCGAGGAGAATGCGGTTGCACGAGGCGCGGAACTAGGAGCGGAAAGAGGAGGAGGCGAATGTGATTGGCGAGGGCGACGGGAGAGGGGAGGCACGCGAATCATCGAATGCAAGGGAGGGTAGTAACGGATTTGCCGCTAGCAGCGTTGTCGAGAAGCGGCCGTACGGTCGGGAACCTGTAGAGAGACCGAGTGGCGTGGCACGAACATGAGACCTGGCACTGGTGCATATGGAGGGCGCAAAGGGCCAGGGAGGGGGGAGAGGTGAGTGGTAGGCGCCGACCAAAGCATGACCAGTTGTTGGGCATACCCTAGAGCTCTTAGGGGTCCTCTCGGGGCTGTCTTGGGCATCTCCTGAAGATGTCCTGGGGGCTGAGGGCACCCTGGGAGTTCTAGGCGACTTGCCCCCGCGCTTGGAGCTCTGGGGGTGTTCTCGTCGAGCCGTCTTGCGGGCCCTCTGGAACAGTGTTGAAGCACATGTGGGACGTTATTGGCCATCCCTTGGGGCCATCTTGGAGCCCCAATGAGGGCCTAGAGCTTGTCGCTAAGAGGAGGAGGAAGTGGCGGAGGAGGAGAAGGAGGAGGAGGGGGGAGGGAGGGAGGGGGGAGGAGGGAGGGGAAGGAGGGAGGAGGTGGAGGAGGAGAGGAGGATGAGGAGGAGGAGGAGGGGAGGAGAAGGAGGAGGAGGACGACGAGGTTGAGGAGGAGGAGGTGGAGGAGGAGGAGGAGGGTCCGCGCTGTCGGCCACTCTGCGCTGGCCCATTTGAGTTTTTGTTCAGCAGCGCTGCACCGTGCTCGTGACGGGGCTCGCACATGTGGCTCGTCGTCGCCGATCCGTTTCGCTGAAGTTGCCGCGACGTTCAGTTCTCTGGGGCGCTGGTTCCTTTCGGCCCGCGCTGGTTTTCGAATCGGCGCGCGGGCGTGCCCTTGTTCCGCGTTGGCCCTCCCCCTCCTGCCTCCTCCCCCCCCATCCTCCTCCTTTCTCCTGTTCCCCCTCCTCCTCCTCCATCTCCTCCTCCTCCTCGTCCTCCTCCTCCTCGTCCCCCTCTTCCTCCATCTCCTCCTCCTCCTCCCCCTCCACCTCCTCCTCCTCGTCGTCCTCCTCCTCCTTCTCCTCCCTAAGCATGGCGGGCGGTGGCAGCGGAAGATGTAAAGGCAGATAGCGAAACAGGCGAGATGGGGGATGAGCGGCCGACGGGGACAAAGCTGTGGACGGGGATGATATCAAAACAAGTGTGGATACGCGGGGCGATGGGGCGCGGGGGCGTGAGAGTGAGAGAGGGGGGGGGGGGGGGGGGGGGGGGCAGGATGGAATTGAAATATACGCAGGGTAGCTTGGAGCGCGAGAGTAGCGGAATAGCTCGGGGTGGGCGAGCGACGGAAGGCAAGGGGGCTAGGTGCGTCCTGGGAGCCATATTGAGGCGTCTAGGGGGCCGCCTCAGGCCCTCTAGTGCGATATGAGGCCCCTCGGGCCCTTCGTGAAAATCCGGAGGGGGGGGGGGGGCGCGCTCGATCTCCCGACGATTCCGAGATCGTCCTCAGGAAGAGTCCCACGGGTGGCCATCAAGACGGCCCCCAAGACGCATAAAGGAGCAACCCACAGGCGGTCACCATGAGGGGGCGGCACGAAGCTTCCATGAGGCCGCCGCAGACCCCCATGGGGTCAAACTGCGCCCTCTTGGGGCCCTCTCGGAAACCGTGGGGTTAACCAAGGGGTGCTTCAAGGCCGTTCCAAAAGCGTGTTCGGGGGGGGCCCAAAAGGCGGTAAACGTGCCATCCCCTGATGGTGACCACCGCCACCTCATGCTTCCTTCCCACGTCTACTCATCCCGTGCATGCTTCTTTCCATCTCCATCCCCGCGTCCTCCACCTCCGTTCTCCTCCTCCCTCCTCCTCTTCCTCCTCCTCCTCCTCCTCCTCCTCCTCCTCCTCCCCCCATTCCTCCTGCCGTCGACGCAGTCTCCGCGAGTACCGACGTCGCCGATGCGTCCCTCTGCTCGTCGTCGTCGTTGTCCTGGGTCGGCCTGGGGCGACGATGGTAATGATAACAATCGGACGTCGATCGATCACGGACTCATCCGCACAACTCCGAGGACCATCGAAGCCAGCAGTGTCGACGCATGCGTCCGTGGCAACCCACACGCCGCAGACAACAAACGATCTCGGGCCGCTGCATCCGACGTGGCGGCGGCGCTGGAGCAGTCCTCTCTGCACCGCGCTCATCAGTATCCTTCCCTCTCCCCCTCTCCCCCCTCTCCCAGCAGTGCCCCACTCGACTCCTCCCCCTCCTTCAACTTCACCCCTCCTCGATCCCGCCATGGCGAGCAATGCGAGCCTTGGCACACCTGGCGCGACGCGTCTTTCACGCGCGTGCATACTCGGACGGAGCTACGCACAGATGCAGCAGGAGGCCTCCGTCGGCCCATGCACATCTAACACTGGAAGCCAGCACGCGACAGAAAAACGGGAAACCCAACACCCCAAACTATACAGAGAGGCTCGGGTCTTGGGTAATAGCGTCCAGGGTCATAGGTGTACGTGCATGTTCGTGTGTGCGTGTGCATGCAATGATGTGATCGATTGTGCGTGCTCGTGTATCGTGACCCCGCTTTCGCACGAACGCCTAACTACTAGAACTTGAACTCGGCCCCGCTGGGGCTGGCCTGAGGACTTCGTGCGGGCACGAGTCCCACTCCCTACCAGTGTCTGAAAGATGAAAAGACCAGAGCTGCCGCAATACTACAATCGCAGCCTCCCTGCAAGTACAAATCTGGTTGGCGAAACTCTGGCTGATCCTAGGGAACGGCCTGTAGTGCCCGTGCCACGCCTTCCTGCCGAGGTCCCGCCAGATGCTACCACCAGGCGGGCAGAACACTTTCATCTGCGGCTGCGAGACGTCAAAGGCCTCAGGGAATTTCGGAGGGGGAGGTGGATCCTCGCCGCCCTTGCCCTTCCCCTTCGCCTTCGCCTTCGCCTTCGCCTTAGGCGCAGGCTCTGGCGGTACGTAGGTCGCCTTCAGCTTGGACACCCTCCTGCTGAAGCTCTCGAGCTCCGCCTTCTGCCCAGGGATCTGCTTCACTTCCTCATGCACAAGGTCCTGGTCCCTCGAATCTAAGACCTCGAGCGCCTCGTCCAAGTCCAGGACCTCTTGTTTGAAGAACATGTCATTGTAGCCAGTCCCCAAACGCTCCTGCAATATCTGAATGATGTCGCTGTTGGACAACTTGCAGATCGTCTTAATCATATTGAAGAGCAACTCTGGGATATCCCACCCAGGCTGGATGGCCAAGCCCACGCGTTCACATACGATGTCGAGCGTGGGGCGCTTCAACTGCCAGAAACCTTGCAACGCTGCAGCCGCGTGTAATCGCATCCAAAGCCCTTTGGTGGTCATGCGAATGGCAGGGGCACCTCCCGCGCCCTTGTAAACCGAAGCAAACGTAAACGGTGACACCCACTTGTACTTGCACGCCTCAACGTTCTCGGACGTCATGTCGAAAATCGCAATGACTGAAGGGAACGACTCCGTGAGGCTGGGCTGCGCGATGTAGTCATCGGAACCGTCGATCTTGATCAGCTCGACTGGCCAAACAATGCACCCAGAACCCTTGAAGTTCCCCAGCGGCACGTACGTCTTCCAAGGGCTGTCCTTGCTGAAACGCCTCCTCACGACGATCGTGTGCCCAGCGTCAAGCAAGCACCCGTTGTCAGCCGACCGCAACTGGTCTATCTGGCCAAACGTTTTCAGCGCGTCGCTCAGCACGAAAAGGTCAGCGGAAGCCACGCAGTTCTGATTCGCTGCTGGAGAGAACCACTCCGCCGCATTCTTCGTCGACACGATCTCCTGGAACGGCAAGCTGCGCTCTTTAGCATTCGGCTTCCAGTCAGTCTCCGCCAAGCGCAACCCCTTGTTTGGCACGGCGATGTCGGCGTCGACGTTGGCAAAGCTGTTGCGGCTGCCCAGCACGTCCACCTCCAAGACTTTCAGCATCGCCCTCTCTGGCTTGCGGTAGGTCATGGAGCCCTTTGCCTGGCCTATGTTCTTCTGGGTGCCGTTGATCTCCTCGATCAGCGCGCTGGAGAGCGGACCTGCAACCTTCCTCCGAACGACTTCGACAAGATCCTTGTCACTGTAGAAGTTGTCGCCCAGTTCTGCTAAGGCGGAAATGTACTGCTTGACGCTGGTGAGGTTGAAGACGGACCTCTTCTCGAACTGGATGTCGGCACCATCCTTCTCGGCCTTCTCGAACAAATGCCTGGCTGCGAGAACATCCCGACGGAATCGCTCCATGACGTCGCGCGCATGGGCGGGGCTCAAAATGCCCGTCATCGAAGCTGGCCATCCCGCTGTCATCCACAGACCGCGCTGGATCCGAAGACCTGCCAGCCTCAAAGCACCACCACCCTGCAACACCGCAAACTCGTCCTCGATGAGAGTGTTGAGCTGGAGGTCCTCGAAGGTCATGGGAGGCACGGCCAGCATGAAGCCGCTGCGCTGGAGGTGGGCACGGGTTTCGAGGTTCTTGAAAATGATGTTCAGGTGGTCGAAGAATCTGCCCGTCGTCTGTTTCGTGGCCCACTCCGTACAATCTGCTGCAGATCTGCACTCCTTCTGGGCCAAACCCTGCCAGTGCTTCAAACTCGAGATGTCCTCGAACACACACTGGCACGTGCGCAACGAGAAAGGATCGTGCAAGAAGGCAACTGACACAGCAACCGCATTGGCGCAACACCCCATGATGGACCTCTCGATCACGGTGGTAACCCTGGAGTCCGTGGGCCCCCCCTCCTCACCGTGGGCGTCCGTGCCAGGCTTCGCCAAGATCTTCAAGCGCTCACCGAACTTCTTGCCCCTGAGGAAATCCATCTCGATGCCCAAGAAGGTCCTCTCGTGCTTGTCCTGGTGGAAGTACTTCATGCACTCCTCTGGGGTCTCAGCCGCAGCAAGGAAACGGTTGAAGGAGCACTTGCGACCCTTCTTCTTGACGGGAGCCTGCGACTTGAGGTAGTTCCAGATTTCGAACCCCTCTTCGGCCTCGTGGGGGAGCATCACGTGCAAGGCCTGCAACTCCTGGGCTATCTTCCGCAAACCATCCTGGAACAGCGGCGCGGTGCGGTAATCGAAAGTCTTGTAGTAGTAGTCCATCGCTTTCTTCAGCTGGTTGTAACGGCTGTCCTTGTTGATCTCGCTCCCGTGCGGCAAGTTGCAGTGCGCCAAGACAACAATCCAGAAATCGTACAGCCGCATGCCCTTGAGCCACAGGATGAAGTCCCTGTGAGCGCCGTGGCAGGCATCTGCCCACTGGACGTAGTTGAGGCCGAACTTGTACATCGCAGCGTGGGCAGCGCAGTTATTCTTCGGGCCGAGGTCCATTGCCATCGTCAACGATGGCCAGGTGCGCCAGTCCAGCCATGCCTGACGGCACGTCGCTTCGAGGTGCCCAGGCCCCAACCCCTAATCGTCAACGGGCAACCTGGTTCCACGGAGGTGACCCTCATGGGCCGTTCACCCCTGATGCTTTTATTGAGGAGGAGGTGGAGGAGGAAGAGGAGAAGGAGAAGGAGAAGGAGGAGGAGGAGGAGAAGGAGGACGAGGAAGAGAAGGAGGAGGAGGAGGAGGAGGAGGAGGGGTCGCCTAAGCACTTCGGAGAACCCCATCCACCAAAGACCCCCTGGGGCATGTGCAAGCGTGCGTAGTTAAGCTTTCGCCCAGCAGCCTTCAGCGAGAAGTTCGGCTTGAAAAAATCGAGTCCAGTGACCCCCAGGGAAGTCCGCAACTGATTATCCTGGAAGTCCAAACATTTCTTGGCACCGACGCGGTGCAGGGTCCTGGGGCGAAAGCTCTGGGCCTGCTGGGTCTCGCACCTCTGGAGCCACGCAGCCTGCCTCTGGAGGGGCGCGCCGAGGTCGCCCGATCCAGTCCGAGGCAGCTTCGAGCCGACATTCTGATCCAGCTCTGTCCCGATGTGTTCGGCGTCGAAGCCGTCATCCACCTGGGAGCGTCGGGCAGGGAGGTGGAACCAGAGGGGTGGTGGCTCCAGGCCGGCCTCCTGAGGCCAGCCGGCGGGCACCGCTCGAGCTCCCTCGGCGAGGTGATTTCCAGCTCAGAAAAACGGTTACATGTGATACTTTTCGGTCCCCCTGGAGCCCGAAAAGTATCACCTGTAGGTGCCCCAGCCCTAGGATTCTGAGCCCAGAATCGCTCCACTCAGGGGTGCGAGGCGCCCCCCCTCTCAGCGGCCCCCCCTCCCTCCAGGACCTCCTGCGCGGCTCCCAGGGACCTCACTTCCTCCCCAGGATCTCCCAGGAACTCCTCCTCAGGCCCTGAGGGGCCTCCCTGCCCTCCCCGACCTCCCTCCCCCTGCCTCCTGCAGCCCTCCTCCTCCCTCCTCCCATCCTCCTCCTCGCGCTCCTCCTCCTCCTCCTCCACTTCCTCCCTCCCTCCTCCTTTTCCCCCAAAGCCGCGTTGGGAACGCACATGATGCTCACGTTATCGTGGAGGCCGACCACCATGTTCACCAAGGTCATGCCTATGCCCTCGCACTCGTCCATCGTGGCGACAAACGTGTGGTGGCCCATGGCCGCGTTGCGGCCCCCGAGCACGTACTTCACGAGGTCCAGCGCCATCGAGAACTTGCCCTCGCCTTCTGGCTCGGCCCAAGCGAAGTCCTCGCCGCCGCCGCGGCCCTTCACCTGCTTCCCGAGGGCAGCCTCCAGCTTGATTGCAAACGCCCAAGCGATCTGGCGACCCAGCGACTGAGATGGCGCATCCCTGGCCTTCGTGAACGTGGCAATCGCCAGCTTGCCGTCCACCGTCATGTCATGGCGGCTCTTGATGGCAGTCAACTTCCGCACCATCGTCGCAAGGCAGGACCGAGCTGGAGAAGACCCCGTGGCAAGCTCGCCGATGTGGATGCAGCCGCATCTGTCCACCTCGACCTCAAGCACGGGAGCTCCGTGAACATCAGGGCGAGGCCAACGACAATGCCAATCGGGATCGACGCGGAGGATGATCTTGGCTGGCTTATCCTCGGAGCCGAAAGCGATGTTCATCAAGGATTCCCACACTGTGTTGACTGCCTGGGGGAGCCGAAGGTCAAGCTCAATCATTGTGCATGTCTACTCTACTCACACACATCATTAGGGAGAGGGAGCCCCCTCGGCCCCCTCTCCCACATGAAATTGAAAACAGTATCAAAACTCGACCACGTTTTAGGACATCGAGCGCGCAACCCAAACTCTCCCAAAACGCGTCCGCGCCGCTCCCCAGCGTGCTGGAAAAGCCGCACACGAGCGCAAGCCGTCTGGAGATATCCTCATCTTCCTCCTCCTCCCTCGTCCTCCACCCACCCCCTCCTAGACCTCCTTGCGAACCCGTAGCTCTCCTCCTCCATCTTATCCTCCTCCTACTCATGATTCATCCTCCCGCACGCGCCTCGCGATCCGCCCTGTCTTTGAGGCCGCCGTGCTGGTGGCTCATGCAGGTCCACTTCGCCATCAGCGCCAACACGCCGATTGTCGACACCGCAGTCGACGGCAAGCAGCGGTCGGGCCACGGCACGTCCTCGGTCTGCTTGCACTTAGCCGTGGAGCGGACGATGTGCGTGCCGTTCACAACGGTGCCGATCGTCTTGGCCCAACTCCCCAGCGATTGCCACACCCACCTGAACGGACACTTGCCGTACTGCGAGAAATTGAGCTGACGGTACAGACCGACCATGTCCCAGAACAAATGCTGTTTCGCCGCCCGCGGCATGAGGAAGCAAAAGGTCTTGAGGCCAATCGTGCCAATGACGGGCAACGACACCTTCACCTCGGACTCGCGGAAGCGGGTCGTGACCGTGTCGAGGCTCACAGGAGGTGATGCACGATCCAATGGTTTGCCCACGAAGCGCTCGCCAGTCACAGTATCATGCATCAGCACGCGAGGGAACAACTCGCTCACAAGCTTGATGCTGTCATCGGGGTCGCCGCTGTCCACGTTGAAACCGACATCGGCCACAGCGCCGAAGCCGTCGTCGTCGAAGTTGAGGGCCCACTCCCCATCGAGGCGCTTAGTGCACTGCAAAGTCACGTGGGTCAGCTGGAAAGCGGAGTCCGAGACCCTGTCCAAGAAAACGACGCCATCCTCGCGAGAATCAACGACTTGTGACGGCAGCGCAGGCTCTACCTCCAAAGGCGCAGCATCATCGGCCTCCTTCTTCTTCTCGGCCTCATACCGCTCATCAGGGCGAAGAAGAAGGGCAGCCCACGGACCAGCAAACGCTGCTGGCGGTGCAGGCATCGTGCTGAAGCCGACGGTCACCGCACGAACCTCGGATCGCCAAACCAGGCTTGAACCAAAATGGCTAAGGAACGGGGGCTGGCCCATCTTTGCCGTGTGCACTGTTTAGACGTACCGAGTTCAGTTTGAACGGGCCTGGTGCCCATGCGAGGGCGCGCCTGCGGGGTTACTCTGGCGGTTTGTTGTCGGACGTGGCGGGGGGCGCGGCGAGCGCTCATGGGGGCCGTCGGGGCCTACGTCGGGGACCGCGCCGCATGGCTCTAGGAAGGCTCTAGGAAGGCTCTAGGCATCCACCCCTCACCTTTCTCATCCTCCTCCCCCCTCCCCCGACTTCTCACCAGTGTCCTTCAAGTTTGCATCGGCCCAGTCAGGATTGCGGGGACGTCTCGAGGCGTTGCGTTTTCAATCGCTTGTGCTGCAAACAGCTGTTCCTACAAAGCGTGGCCCTGCTCGAGCGCGCACCCACATGCCCGTCGCTAAGGAGTACTATAGTAGACTAGCTCAAGCACGTCGATAAACAAGGGCGAAACTCCTATGATGGAGCGTCAGGGGCTCGCACCGCCAAAACCCTAACTACAAACCTCCAGATCGGCAACGGCGTGGCACCGCAAAGAAAGGAGCGAACATGGATCACAAAGACTACGCCGATTCCGTTCAACCGTTCCCACCCCAGCTCCCCTGCATGTCTCTCAACTGCCGTCCCAAACTAGTAAACAGGCAACCTAGCAACAGAGAGCTGAATGCCAGGAGTCTGGGCGAGCGGCGCGCCTTAAAAGCGCCATTCGCTCCCGCGTGAATGTGACTACTCCTCTTCCTGCTGCTCCCTATCCTATCCCTCCCGATCCCTCTCGCCCCCTTACCCTTCTCCTCCTCGGTGCGTGCCAAAAAAGGCTGGACGTCTGAAAAAAAAACCAAGCTCGGGAGGCAGCGAGATTTGCCCTCGGCAAAGCTCCGAAGCTATGCCTTCAGCTTTGAAGCAGCCTTGGGGCTCGCCGTGAGCTCTGGGCAAGACTCCCTCGCACGCTTCGCGTTGCGAAGGCGGTTCTCCAGCGCAGACTTCTGCTTGTCGGCCATGGATTTGCGCTTGTTCTCGGTGGCCGCTTCCGCCAACTCAGACTGCAAAGACTTCGTTGGGCTGCCGACGACCTTCGCGCGGTCACTCTCCCAGGACTGCATGATCGTGTCGAGGTACTCCTTGAACTTCTTGTTGCTGGTGGTCTCGATGACGTCGAGCTTCCATGGGCCCTGCTTAGAAGCCTTGCTGAAGAAAGTGTCGGCCTTCCACGGCGGCGAGTTGTCGCTCTGCTGGAAGGCCGCGCCGTGGTCGAGGTTATTGTCAAGGAACTTCCACTTCTTGGTGATGCGCACCTCGGAGGGGTCGATCGCCACCTGCTCGCCAGTCTGCTTGTGCGTCAGTGCGGTGAGAACGCCATCTGCATCCCACGTACGAGCGTAGCAGCCGATCAAATCATAGTTGACCCTGCCGTCGATCAAGCACTCAGCCCCGACGCCCTTCAAGCGCTCCCCGAACTTCGAGTGCTGGTCGGTCGCCACTCTGCTGAACACGGACGCGATCCACATCTCGTCCTTGAGGCGGAGGGTAGGCGCCAACTGCGTGCCCAATGTGAACAAGCGAACCAAGCCATGAGAATCCTTCGACTTCACGCTGATCAGGTCCGCTGAAGTTAGCTTGGAGTGCTTCGAAAGCCACGATGCCAGGACGTAGTCGGGCACCGTCTCCACTCTCGAAGGCTTCGGACTCATCATCTCCTCTCGGGCGACATCACGCGACGTAACCAAGTTCTGTTCTGCGTCGTCCAACTTGCCGACCAGGATGCGGACCAAGCGGCGGTCGCGCTGGCATGCAGAGATGATCCTCTGAAGGCCTTTGTGGTCAGTGGACGCCTCCTCGTCAGCAAACCAATCAGCCTGCTTGGGGTACTTGGGAAGCTTCTCGGCATACGGTGTGAGAGCAGCATTCGCCGTAGGAGAACTCTTGTCCTTTCCCTTGGACGGCGGAGGGGTTGCAGCTGCGCTGGAGGACGCGCCCGCCTTTTTGACAGACATGATGTGGGAAGACAAAGTGTGAGCGAAACTGCAGGGAGACACCTCAACAGAGCTTGAACCCAAATAGCTACGGGGCCCTGAGGTCGGCCTGGTGCCGCTAGTCACTGCTGGCCATGTGAATGCTGGGGTGCATCCGAGGAGCATCGAAACATGGCTCATTGATCGCTCAGTCTCACCCCCACCCCCGCGTTTCCAAGTCTCACCTCGTCAATCTGGGTCTCGGGTCGCTCGCCGCGAACCCTGGTTTAAACCGGTGTTTTGCATGATTTCCGATTGTGAGGTTAAGCCAACGAGTAAAATATTACTACCTGGTTTTGCGTGTCCTACGCTGTGCCGTTCTGCGCTGTGCTACGCTGTACGTCGCCACCTATTGAAATGCCCTGACGCGTTATGATGCGTCTTGCTTTGCTGAGGTGCATCTTAATGCCTCGGATCTTGCTCGGCAACCTCCGTCCCTCGCTCTCTCGTTGCCTGCCCCCCCCCTTTCCCGTTGTATTTGTGTTGATATGAGCTCTTGATCCTGTCAGGCCCCTGTGGTCTTGCAAGTGCTCATTTTCTTACTTTCGTTTGTAAGGCTGCAGCTGGACGATCGCGCTGCCGCCAAGGACTGCTGCGCGAACCCACCATCAGGAACGCGCCCTCACAGATTGCGAGGATCGCAAAGACTGCAAGACGAGGCAGGAGCATCCTACACTAGCGAAGGGCTGGTCAGACCTGCGGGCTGAAAGCGGGCTGAGCGAGCACGGAACGAGATCATGCAGAGCGGCCGATTCCGAACAAGAGAACCTCACACGTGGATTACCTCCTCTCCCCTCCCGCCCCCTAAACCCATACCTGACGAAGGTTACAGGCCTCCCATTTCATCTCTCTGACAATGGGGTTCTGCAGAGCGGCGCGTGCGAAAGAAATTGGTTCCCTGAGGAGTGCGCGACACGGCGTATCAACTCGATGCGACGACGCGGTGTGCGAACGATACATAACAACACTAATGCGTACACTGAACTACACTCATGCGATCAGACATCGTCCTGCTGCGACTCCTCAGGCCCCCATGCGCGTCAAGCCACTAAAAAATCAAAAGGTCAGCCATGGAACTCACCGCATGTCCATATATACAGAACTGGCACGTCTACTCGGTCCTGCGCCTCAAGCGCCTTCCCTCCGAAGAAACACGGTCACGGGCCACGCTCTCCGCGCGCGTCTGGGCCCTCGACCGAACGCGATCCGTGATCAAAGAGGACCCCGACGAGCTGGATGATGCTGCGATAGATGTCCCGAGAACGGCATCCTTGGCCCTCTGGAGGTAGTGGGCGAACAGCGACGTCGAGGGAGCCCCGATCGGCTGAAGCATCCAAGGGCCCGTCACAAGACCCTTAGGGAACAAGTGGACCACCTTGACATGAATCGAACCGCCTGGCGAAATGAAGGCCGCCTCGTGGTCATGCCAATTCGCAACAAAGCTCCACTCCCTTGTGACCCGCAAGGCCGCCGTGGCGTTCGGGGAAGTGGAAACGCCAGTCGCCCTATGAGTCACCATGGCAAGGACGCCGCCACTGCTCCACGTCAAGGAGTAGCAATTGAACGGGCCTCCCTGCCAATCGATCGTGCCGTCCACGAGGTACTGGCCACTCACGGTGCTGAGGCGGTTGCCGAACCTCTCGGCCTGGTCGCTTGCGAAGCGCACGAAGATGCGCTCAATGAGCATCTCGTCCTTCAAATGCGTGTACTGTGACATCTGCGTACCATACACAAAGAGTCGGAGGAGGCCATACTTGTCTTTCGAATGGAGCTCCAACAGGTCCGTCAGCTCGAAACTGGAATGGCCCAAGATCCAGGTCGCCAAAACATGCGTTGGGACGCTGTCCACAGACAGCGGCACAGGGTACATGACTTCGAGGGAATCGACGGGCCCAGAAGCAGTGGCGCGAGGGTTCTCGACCTTTCCGAAAAGGACCGCCACGATACGATTGAACACTGACCTGCAGATGCTGACGACCTGGCTGATCTTCGAAGGGTTGCACGCAAGCGCTGACGGCGCCTGCTGTCCGTCCGTGGGGCTCTGCTGCACGTGCGAAGCTGGAGCCGCCCCGCTGGAGACCATGGTCGACGTGGCGATGAAGCCTGCGAACGCGAAAGGAACGCCCGACTCACGGGCAGCGAAAAACCTCGGTTTGAGCCCAAAGAGCTCGGATCGACCAGCGGCCCCACAACTGCATATGTGCCGCGGTCCCATACAATAAAGGGCCTTCGTAAGGGGGGAACGGGGGTAGAGGGGAGGGGGGACGGGGGCGGGGGAACACTGGCGGGGGCGGGGGCTTGCGTAAGGGGGCAACGGGGGTGATGCGGTAGCAACCCGCGGGGGGATTGCAATGGGGGGCCTGGGGGGCATCAACGCGGGATGTCATTTGACTGGGGGGGGGGGGCGTGGGTTGAGGAGCCTGCAAGAGGACTTCTTGGGCACATTAAAGGCGTTGGGAAGTGGACAGCTTGGGCGAACCTAAGGTAGGACCTGGTGTCAGAGCGCGCATTGCCTTGTAACCCTCGCCGCTATCCTCCTCCTGCTCCTTCGCTATCCTCTTCTCCCTCGTTCCCTCTTTCCGATGGCCTACGACCTACCTAACTTCGCGCGCGCTTAAGTTTCTAGGCCGCTGCCTAAGCGAAGTGTGTCCAGGTGTAAAAAATTTAACTAGGCGAAAACCATTGGGGCAGGTACAGGTGATACATCTGGTTCTCGGATCTTTGGGACCGTCCTGGAGGCCTCTTGGGTCATCTGGAGGTCACGTCGGTCACTCTTGGAGCGCTCTTGTGCTGTCTTGGGGGTCTCTGGGACGTCTCCAATGACCCCCCTGATCGCCTTAGGTGTGCTGGGAAGGCTTGGCAAAACGCCCTGCGAGGCCTGGGGGGCCGCTTCGAGGCCCGTCCAGAGGGCCCCA